CACATGAGCGCTACAGAGGCCGATCGAACAGATTTTAGGCCACATTATGGTCGTAATATCTCGACCGGACATGACCGGACACGGTTAATTCGTGTACCAAATGAAAGATACAGCTTTCTATTTTCGTCTGAACTAAATTTTATTAACCGGCAACAACCGGAACATTTTACAAATATTATTTATTGACATCACTTTCGTTCTTACAATAAAAATAAGCCAATACTTACAACTGATAAACAGAAATAGGGGTTTACACTTAAGCGGCGAGGAGCTGTGTGTACAAAGAGATAGTGCTGTGATAAGCTCCGCGGGTGGCCGTAGTGCAATTTAATAGGCACTAGCTGACTGTTTAACTGGATTAAAGATAAGCGATAAAGTCGATGTTACTCCTTCTGTTCTATTTTCTCTATGATAAAACCAACTCGTACCAAATCTTAGTCCAGGCTATGTTGGATTTTGAACCAAGTGTTTTTGTCTAAGTTGTATTATGGTGCAAATTTCAGTTGGGGTGAAGTATTCTGTACACCACATTTCTGCCTCTGAGAAAGTTTTATTATAACCAATTATATCTATGTTTACATCTAGGAAGCTGTTGATTGGCTCCTTGAGCAACCATACATACACAAGGATGGTATTGGTCTCATCGGTGTTTCCGTTGGAGCACAAATTGTACTTAAACTATCTACTATATGTGGGTCAAAGGTACAGCATGTTACTTTATACTTTAACTCTGAATCATTATATACAATGAGAATACATTAATGTTAAGGGTTTTGCTACACATTTTCATTTTAAGAATTTGCTCATTAGTTGCGCTTTCACATTTAATCAAAGCCTCAAAAAGTGTTTACTTACGGTTTCCTTGTGGTAATCTTTATGAGAGATTAAAATGGAATTGCACGAACAGGCACATAAAAGTTGCCCACTGCCCGTACTCTATTTCTGTGATTTAATTAAATTTTTTCATTCTTTATACTGGGTATCCTTTTCAGTAGATATCTAACTGTTCTTCCAGTTTAGGGTGTGGAGTTATTTTAGCTGGGAGAAAAATTCTTGCCGTCACAGGAATTGAACCCAGGACCCTGGTGATTGGAAGGCAAGCATCATAACCACCAAACTATTCAACTATTGCTAGTATACAAATATTGTTTAAGTCAAAATTTATTAACTGCTTGTCTTCTATTCTTTTTGTAAAGCGCATTGAGACTTTTTTGCGGAATGCGCTTTAGAAGTATGGTATTATTATCATCATTGGCTAGGTTACAGTCTGCCCGAGGCTATAGTCTCCACATCACCGAGGGGCTATAGATTTCAATGTTCCCCGAATCTGAAGCAGTCAATATTTTTTTATATACCTCAATCATAGATTTTATGAGGCCTAAAAAAGTAATGAAAAGAATACCCATTAAGTAGGCCTAGGCCTACTGCCTAGGAAGTCAAAGGGCTAATCTCTCTCGTCATAGAGGTCGCAGTCCACTTCACCGCCCTTCACCGCGGTTATCATAAATTACACAGCGACATTATGAGTGGGTCCTAGAGATTACATCGTGATAGGGGAAAAAGTACTATCATTTAACATGATTTTTTGTCCCCAGGCATTTATGAACTATCATTTAACCTACTCACAGCATTGTTATAATATTTTGCCTTTTGACTTTGACTGAGAATGTTCTCATTTGGAGTTTTTATAACATCATGGTCAAAATGAATGATTTTATGGGCCCCTTTCATCTTTCTTTCTTCAAATCTGTGAAATTCCCAGACATATGGTGGCACACTGTATTTTCACTGATCAGACCGATATATAATTCATGTAATGGGAAAATTTGTATGGCATTACCAGCCAACAGGCATTTTCAAATGACACTTGACAAGGTTCAATTTAGTGTGCCATTACCGTCCGCAAGCGCGTCATGATGAATGTTTTTTCTGACTCTCCCCCCCCCCATATTTCTTCCTTCAAATCTTTGTCAAATTTTATAATTAATAATAAATTCCTTACCAACATGCATTTGTCAATGAAAGTTGATAAATGTATATCTCATATCAAGAGTCAACTCTTTGTGTCATTACCATGCGCACGCGCATCATGACGTGCACGTACGTATGTGTAAATCTTCTAAATTGATCAAACTTTTTTAAAAAACTAAATTGGAGCATGTTTTAGGCAATTTTGAGCTTTCAAAAATTTTTCAATCTGCAACGTGCGCGCTTCCTGAGGGTCAAAGTGCGGTGGATCTCCAAACTCGACCTCCATTACTTATCTACGTCTAATTATTTATTTGTGTATATAGTTATTATTTATTTATTTATTTCAAATTTTATATACAAATGCCCAAGCCGTTGGCCCAACACAAAAGTGGAAACGTCTTGACCTATTATTTTGTGTTGAATCTTGTTAAATGAATGAGACACTTGTTTATCTTACAGATTAAAGCGTGTGTTAGTATCAACGGTTGTCCATACAATACGGGGGAATATCCTCCTAGCAGATACAATCAAAGACATTTTCCAGTTGCACAGTATGTCATTCTATTTTTTTCTATGAAAATTATTATGAAAATTAGGAATTATCTTTATGAAATCATTATGCAAATTTAGATAATAACTATTTTGAAAAACCTTTCTTCTTATCAACAGAACACATCCGGAAAAGATAGAATTTCGTGACGGTGCATTAATACTACTTAATTACTTTCCGAAATTACTGACAAACAAAGAAAAAGACGCTGTGATGCAAGTAAATTAATCTTTTCAATTTGAGTATTTATATATTGCTCTTTATAGGTACAAAACATAACCTTTATGATGTCCCCTCTCTCGTGAAAAAGCACACAATAAAGTGATTTGGTGTCTGATTTTAAGATCTTATTTTTTAACATGCTCACTGTAATACCTCTACCCTCTATCAAGTTCTGTGCTCCCAGAATCTTGCTATTTAATGAATGCATGACTACATTCACCTTTACTTAACCACTGAGCCCCATTAATAGTTATTCTGAATTTTCATTGTAGTTAGAGAAGTCAGACTGTGAATTCCTCTTCATCTCTGGTGATGATGATCACTGCTGGTCTGGTAGTCTATATGCCAAGTTCGCTTCAAACTATCTGACATCACATGGAAAGAAAAACTGGCAAATCCTCAGCTACCCAGGAGCAGGCCACCTGATAGAACCTCCTTATTCTCCTCTGTGTGCTGAAGTATTTCTGCCTTTTCTTGGTAAGTTGAAGTATACATGTGTAAACTAGTTCAAACCCCTTGGAACTGCATTAAACCAGGTATTTCTGATTCCTCTAGTCTGGATCTCTGGCAGGCCTACATAGTGTTTACTTTTAAAATATTGAAATGATGTAGCCATTGCTTGATTACCTACGATGAAAAGCATCCTTAAGGTGTAAAATAAGCTATCCATCCCATAGTTCACAACATTTTTTTGTAATATACATTTTGATGGGGCAGGATGGACTTTTTGACATATACTTACTTAAGTTTAATATTGGGTTATAATATAAGCCTTGAAAAATGTATATACTGTAGCCCCAATTGATTCTATTATTCTTCTGATTTATTTTAGGTTCTGTTACCCTGTATGGAGGAATTCATGATTGCCATGCATTAGCACAAGAAGATTCCTGGAAGAAAACCCTTGCATTCTTTCATAAATACGTTGGTAAAAGTGTACCTACCAAAAGGATGTCCTCAATCGTGTCTTTACCATTGAACAGTAAACTATAACACAGTCATTGTTTTCAGGCAATGTTTATGCTCATTACCAAAGGCATTCAATTTGATTGGTTAACATATCTGTTGGTATTTTTATTTATTAATTAAAAATAAGGAAAAATATGATATATTGCATAAATTTCAACAATGTAGTAATGCCGATATGAAGATATGTTGATGTTATAGGATATAGGAATTATATCAGTACTAAACTGCATGACAAGGTGTTAGTATTTTGAAAAACCTATTGAAAGACATAATGGATTGCTAAAAAAATTATGATTTGTGATGCACCATTTTATATTAAGTAATAATAAATGATGATAATAGTAGGCTGAAGATAAGGAGAATAATGAAGGAGGATGGGACAGATGAGGACAGTGAGGGTGCCAGCAGAAATTCACTTGACCCCCATTCATATGATGAGGTTGAACCACAATAATTTTCTTATTCAAATAACTTCATTTTAATTCCTAATATTGTGGTCTAAAGCGTAATTGTTGACCATACTAAGTCATAAAAACACTCCCCATGAACAGTGGCAGCTCTATGATACATTTTTTGTGGGGGGTGGAGGCCTAAGCTGTCTGACAAGGGGATTGAGCTTGTATGCCTGATGAGGTGGTGGGTTTGTGAGGGGTGCCTACCCCCCCCCCCTCCCAAATGAGATTTTTTAAAAATAGGGACCTCTGGAGGGCTGGAAATGATCAGGGCCCCCTTCCCTTACAAACATCTCTGGATCTGCCCCTGTACAAACAGCTTAATATTCTTTATAGAGCTTACTTAATGCAAAAAGAAATGCAAGAAAAAAATGCAGGTTAGAATAACTAATGTATAGAGGCAAAAATTTGTGCTGAGGGCACTCCACCTTCAAACATTGAAGCAATGGCGTCCTCAGTCATGTGCACAAGTTGATACTCCTTGAGACAATATGCTGGCCTCTGTCACCTTCCACTTCAGTCTACACCCTCAGTATATCACTGCCTTGAGTAGAGTAAACAAGCATATTAAATGGGAGAGATAACAGTGTTTGTGTATTATTTGCTATTTACAGATCAGTTGTACTGTACTTAAAGTAAGATCAATTTGATACTTTACTTTTGTTCTTTATTATTGAAGTATTCTTTATTCAAAACTAATTACATTCCTAATTCTAATAACTTTTAATTATGGTGCTGTGAAATTTTATAATTCTTGACTTATTTTTACAAACCATACGTTATACCTTGTGTTTTTAAAGTTGCTTGTAATTGTTTTTTTCATAGGCCCTACTATTTTTTATTATGCGATGTTTGTACTTGCTAGCTTATTCTTTATATTTTTGCGCTTGTAATGTTGGAAGGTTTGTGCTGTTAATTTATTGACGAACAAAATATTAAATGTATAATAAATCATTTTTTATATATTTTCATATATTATTTTTTTATTCCAATTTTTGTTGTTTAGTCATGTAAAAAAAAATATAATTTCTATGATTAAAAATTCATAGCCTGTAAAAAATGATTTGAAGGTTTAATCTGACTGACTCCAATAGTGAATTGTGCAATTGATTTGACTAAAATTAATATTAAGAACATTGCAATAATCTATGAATTATGTAAGAAACAAATCATGGTGGCTGAAATTCAGTAAATTAGGTTTTGTTTTTTTTTAAAGATAAGCTTTTTGTGGGAATATTCATTTCTTTAATGTAGTAGAGTGGCTTAAAGGTTTTGCTTTGCAAAATTGTCTCCCTTTGAAGTGGGTTTTTCACCGCAAATATATGTACAGTAGATATGAAGAAGACTGCCTCTACAATTGAGCCAGTCAATGAAAAGTTGTATCTCCAGTGGGCAAAGAATATTGAGTAAAGTTTCAACCTTGTTATTGTGTGCAAAAAATACAAACTACAGTAAAATTAATATATTTATAGCATTGGGGAATTTTCAATATATACAGGGTTGTTCCAAAAATGTACGATTTGATTAAACAATTTGTGCTGCCTTGCCTTGTCTGTTCTACGTTTGTACCTTGTGCTACTTAAAAAAATAGTGAAATTTTTACAAGATTCCCTTGGATTATATAGAAAAGTAAATTCTGACCAAACATTGTGGAGTCTGAAAAATATATGAGAGTTATCTTATGAGTGGATATGAAGTCAATATATGCAAATGATGCAACAGCCTCCATTTCAGCTAATCACTGAAATATCCCCTCAGAATATTTGTTTTCATCATGCATTGGACAAAAATGTTGCTAAATTGTATTATGACATCAAATTGTGAAATTGTTTTAATTATTTACATTCCATGAAGAGTTTATTGTTCTTAAATTTAATTAGTCATGCATGCTTCTAGTCAGACAAATGCTTTTATCTTATTTTTGGTTGTGCTTTTATAATTTGTTTAGTTGTTTTTTTAAAATAGGTAATAGATTTATTAAATGTTGTGTAATCTGTTACTGTGCTAACCTTCAATATATAAAACATTGAACTATTTTGTAATTTTGTTTCAATAAATTAGTATGTCATAACAAGTCTAAAAACTAAATGAAACTATATGAAGTATGAACTATAAATTTATTAAATGATGATTATAAAATATGTTTTTGGTAACAAACAAAAAAGAAATATTTAATATACCAGTAGAAGGGGGTGATATGAAATTTAGTGAAAATGAAATTATATAATGCAGTATCAATAAAAAGTTTATATATGTTATATATTTGTGTTGTGGGCCTATACTTTTTTCCAAGAGGTAAAGGTACGAGAATGTGTCATTGTGATGAATTGCGTATGGGCGTGGTCCGTGACTCTTGAGGGTCCGTAGAGGAAGCCCCGAAAGTTCCAACTATTTAAGGATTTCCAAGGAGTATTGCATTAATTTTAGCGTCCCATAAATTGAAAAAATTCCACGTCCCCCATTCCACTGGTGCCATTCCTGTACCGTCGTCCTGAAATCGACCTTGTCCCAGAACAAAGCGAATTGCATTTTTTTCATCACACTGCTATCCTGTAGTTTGTAACATGGTCTTCATACAAAATAGTATAGAAGAATATTACGAAATTGGAAAAGTGTTCCATACTGAAAATTAAGCATCTTAAAAAAAGGGTTCATTATACCAGATCATTAACTTCCCCGCTTATAAATGCGTTTCTAAAATAGCAAATATGGGGTTACAACTCTGCTATTCCCAACGGCTCTGGTGGGAAACAACTACAGTACGAGTTTTTATCCTGATTTGTTTTCTTAACAAACCCTATCAATCAATGACCCCATTATAATGTAGTTCAATATATTATTTGTTTATTTTAGATGTATGCTGTTATCAGATCAGTCATAATTTATGTTTGTGATGAAATATTTTCGACCGCGTGCCGATGAGTCAGTTGATTTTGCAACAATTGGCTCTTTATACTTTGTGGTAGGCCTATATGTCAAAACCATAAGGGTGTGAAAATGTATTATTATTATTATTATTATTATTATTATTATTACACGCGAGATCAACAAACTTTGTAACATTTTTATCCCTACATTAATGTACTCATAAATAAAACACATCGATGGGACCAGGGAACAGTTAATATTTGAGGCAAGAGAACATACCGTGCAGCAAGTCATTAACGAACTCCCAAACCAAATTATAACAAATATGAATGATGTTTAACTAACAACTTAAATAAATTTAGTTTAATAAATAATTCAATCTATTCCACTCCAACGTTGAATTTATCCGACTGCGAATCAATCACGCGGTTGTTCGTATAGGAAGTACTGAGATTTGCTTTTGTTTGCTGTGGTATGTTATAAAACCATAAAATCGTAATAATGTCCCGTGATTTCTAGGAAAGAAGGCGTTTGATAAACGTGTGACTGTAGAGGTACTACACTTATTGTTAATTGACCTGGTGATTGAAGGACTGATATTATGAATATTCTTCACTCTTCAAACCAGGATGTGGTCTAAATACAGATTTACATTACAATTAGTCAGTACGCTTCCCGGTTTCCAGGAACACGCAAATCACACAATCGGAGGATTCAAAGATTTCGAAAAGGGGGACGTGGTGTGGTGTGGTGTGGTGTGGTGGGGGGGGGGGACGAAAGTTGGACTGATGGAGAGATTGTAACACCTTCGGGGGTCTGGGGGTGTGCCCTTGCGAAATAATTACTTCTATTTGGTTGATACTTAAATTTACCATTGGCTTTTGGAAAAGAGGGGCATACCAAATTCGTACCATTAGGCCTACCATTCAAAATGTAAGTTAATTGTGCAAAAAAACCTCAAGATCAGACTTTTTTTTTAACTTAAAAGAGCCACCAATCAGTGGCGTGACCGTCTACCGCAGGTTCAGCAGGTTCATTGAACCTGGACCCCGACCTCCAGAGGGGCTTCCGATCTACAAGGGCTCCTCCCCCTTAAATTTAAAGCAATGCGTAAATAACAATCTGGATTGATAGTATTTATTTTTAAAATTGTTAAAAAATAGTCACTTATGCATGACTATTCCGCTATGCCTGTTGTAAAAATTGTCACAACACTAGATGCAAGTCACAGTGAAAGAGATATGTCATTACAATTATTGCAACAACATTCAAAGTGTTTTGGGATCGTGTTTATAGTTGCTTACAACTGACGAAGAAAAATCTGATCCGAGGGGGGCGAAGTGTTCCATGGACAAAGCCCCCGAAAGAATGACAATTTAGGGGTTTCACAGGCTTATTTAATCGATTTTGGGGGAGCTCTTCCCGACGGAGAAGGAACCCCCACCTGTGCCACATCTGCCTTCAAAGGATAACTTTTGACTGGAACTGAGTTTTTTTAAATTTTTATTTATATTCTTTTATTTTTATTTATATGTCACGATGTATGGTTAATTCTGTTCTGTGTTAATTCTTATAACCGTATTGGAAGACATATATAATTTTATTATATTTTATTAAAATTTGGATATCTGAGATTGACAGACAAAATTCTCTGCTATCTATACTAATTTAGCGAGTGGACTTTCTTCATTTAAGGAAATATAAATGTATATTGAGATACGCAAAGTTTAGAAGGTTAGAAGTTTGACAAAAATGTTGTGGTCATATTTGACTGTAATATCATTAAAGACCATTCAACAAAATACACTCAAAATTAAGTGAAACTTACCACTTTGGTGCATGAATATAACTCGGGATATGAGATTTACATAACATTCGACAATGTACTGAATATAAAATCTTAAATATTTTACATTTTGATCAGCAGACTATCATTAAACGTTCCTGAGTTATGTCAAGAGAGAGTAGGTTGAGTTTAAATATACAGGTGAAATTTAGCCATTTTTCCTATTTAAAACCTAATTAATTAACTTGTGATCTGTCAAAAAGTGGTCATGTTGAAACCTCACCAACCGTACCGGTGACTACGGCCCTGGTATGTAATGTAGCACTACGCTTAATTTTTACCTGTGCGCCCAATTTTTTTTTATTTTGAAATGTGTATGATTGTGATTTTGCCTACGGTATATTACAAATAGGCCTACTTGCCTCTTGAAATTATACAAAGGTAATCAAAACGGACTAGAAATGAATGTGGCACACAGGATAACTGTGACAGACTGGACATTGAGTCAGAATATTTTCTTTACCAAATACTAATAAAAATTAAAATTTTGTTTTTTATGCGTGGTCAACATTGTAGAAGACTGAATAAAACTTGGGACAAAAATATATATGTAAGAACTACACAACTTTTCTTGCTGCGTGACAGACGGGACATTTTCACATAAAAACATGAAAACTGTAATGTACATTAAAAATATTTCTATTGAGCTTTAATTGTATCTGGATTGTAATAAGTGTAGGCCTATCATCAGTCTTGTTATTTTAAACCATTAAAATAACGTGGTGGGTATGTTTGTCATGAGATAATACATTATATGCAATTTTAGGACGCTTTCAACCATTAAAATTCCCTAAATTTTAAATTGTCATAAACATTTAAAAAAATTATAACAGATAAAAAATAAAAGCGGTTTCTGAAAATTTAATTATCAGGAAAAAAATTTGGAAACGTCAAATTAACTTTTAAAATTCATGAAACAATCGAAATTAATATCGAAATTGTGCTCAGTTAAATTCAATAGAGCGCCCTCTCAAATATTGATCATGCCATTTTATCTCATGATTGATTATTCAACAGCTCAATGTTTACTACTCGACTGGGATGGGATCTCGAGGCCGTGGCTTGCGAGTGTAGAGCAGTCGTTAAAAAATGGCGTTGCATAAACGGACGGGAAGCCTTGCTTCAAACATAAAGTGTACAGAAAGTCCTATGTCTCACAACCATTGTGAAAGAATTAATGAATCAACAATCAAAAAGCCGGAGGTATGTTATTCGAAGTAATTATTTTACTCGATTTACTATTTGGAACCACCACCTTGGTTTTGGTTGTGTGTTGTTGGTTGGATACGCATGTTTCTGGTGGTGGGTGTGCCCCATCGCAACCGCCGGTTGTAGAGCCACCGGTATTTCTCAGAGAAATATCACTGGGAGTAAGAAAAGTCAAATTGGCTTGTTTAAATGTACCTATAGGCCTAGAAATAGTATTTTTATGTTTATTTTTCTGAAGTTGGAGTTTAATCTATTGACATATTAGTATGAACCAGCAAGCATACCATAGGAATAGATAGTTGCAGTGACGGTTACCGTAAAAAAGAAGCCTATAATAAGCCAGACGCCTAGGCCCTAAGGATAGTAGGCTAAGCTGCTTGAATTGAACAACCCACAATAAAACCAGCTACCCTAGTTAGCTTAGGCCTAGGCCTAAGATAGCTAGAATAGTGTAGGCAGGCTAGGCCCTATGTTTTTAAAGGCCATATGATATGATATTTTCCTGACGCAAACTTGCATCGTAATAGCATTTGAATGTATTGCAGTACCCACTGCTACTTGGGGGATCGTATTCATCACTAGCCACCAAGTGCAAGCTCGGTGCGGTGGTCCAGTGATGGCTCCAGGACCTGCCCGACGGGAGGGTTGGGGGGGGGGGGGGGGGGCTAGTGGAGCAAATCGAGTCTCACTTGGCTGGGACCAGGTGGCCACTTAGGGCTTAGGGCCCCGGTGGGTCCAGTGGGCGAAGCCCCCGGGAAGCCACGGATATTTGACGAATTATGGTGAATTTTTATTACTTATTTCAATGATAGGCATTGAGTTACTATTGTAACTATATATGACTTCATGTAGGCTATGTTTTCTAATATCCGCTTCCAAACCCAAAACATTTTGAATAAAGCAAGAAACAAAGAGTATGCAATGTAACCATCTAATTTATTTTTAAATCCTCATTCTTGAAAGTGAAATTCTACATTTTGGAAATTTTGCATGAAATCTGTTAACCATGCTGTCAAGGTCGAGGTTGCTTCACCTATCATGATGTATTCCAAACATCATGAGGCTATCCAAAGGAGCATTTGTCATAATAGAATGCAATTTATTTTTATTTAGTCTCATTGAACTATTATTGCTGCGAAGCAGCCAATTCATATTCTTGACAGCAATTTGACCTCTGAAAGGTCATTGTTTGTCAAAAAACAGGCGCCTAAGACGACTGAAAAGCGGAGTTTCCTTCTTTCCTTCTGCCGGGTAAAATCAATTACTTTAGCCGACGTTTGTAGACTAACCTACTCGTACTAACGTCCGCATGTCGCGCTAGCCAGGCCTAGACTAGCTAGGATGGTAGGCCTAGCCTTGAAGGGACGAATGTCCCAATGAAAAACAACGTCGCTCCTTGATAGCTAACATTGTCTATTTAACATCACAATAATTCATTATTAGACCTATAGTTGTTTTTTGAATTGTACTCCACAAATCTCAGCCGATACCTCGCACAACTCGAGTAACGTAACGTCTTGTATCTATTGTCGTGACGTCATGGCTCGCACTTTGGCAACACTCTTTGGCAGTCAACTCGCCCCTAGAAAACCCATCCTTGGAAACTTGCCCCATAAAAAAATGTACACTTCCTAGATCATGCAGTCTTCAAAACAAAAATTGTAACTTTCGGTAATTAACTACATTTTCCACATACATAGAAATTTTTGAAACTTTATTAAAAAAAAACCTAAACTATAATTCACCACTATAGACACTTTTTGACAAAAATGAAAAATTACGACTTTGTTACCCAGAAGTGTTCTAATATAGACAATGGGTCGTGTCTCATATTATTTGTTATATTTTTATTATTCATTATTTTCACTTGACTTGCATAAATAATTTTGTTCGAAGAACATTAATATGCAGTTGTACTTCACAGCACTTCACTTGCAATTTGCAATTTCTAGTTGTTATTATTATTATTAACACAAATAGTTTAATGAAACAATATGGTGGCTAAACGAACATTACATAATTAAATAATTAATATTTTAAAAAATTTGTTTATTCCCCGACAAATGTTACTGGTCTTCCCCGACGGGGGACCATGCTTCCCGGGGGGGCATGGGGGGCATAGTCCCCCAGCCCCTCTGGCGCCACCACTGCGGTGGTCTAGGAGTTAATCATAAAGCTAGTTACCTTCAGGGCGTGGTTTCAATTCCCACCCGAATCACTTGCATATTTTTTTTTCGCTAGTATTTGGGGACATACTGAGTATTCGGTACAATACACGTCAGGTAGGGCAAAACATCACTCCTACCTATGATATTTTTCTGACGCAAAGTCACATCGTAATAGCACTTGTAGTACCCCCTGCTACTTGGGGATCAGATTCAGCACTAGTATTTGGAACGATAAAACGTCAGGAAGGGCAAAACATCACTCCTATGATATTTTCCTGACACAAAGTCGCATCGTAATAGCACTTGCAGTACCCCCTGCTACTTGGATCGGATTCATCACTAACCACCGAGCACAAGCTCGGTGGTCTAGTGGTTAAGACATCAGGCTAGTTACCTGGAGGTCGTGGGCTTGATTCACACCAGAATCACTTGAGAAATTTTTTCGCTAGTATTTGGGGACGTACTAAGTATTCAGTACGATAGCATGTTAAGTAGGGCAAAACATTACTCATGATATTTTGCTGATGCAAACACACATCCATATAATATTATGCTTTTGGTAGAAATGGGCTTGGCATAGGTACCCATTCAAAAATCAAATGAATGCCCATGGAAAAGTTACAAAATTACATACGTTCCTGCTATAAAAAATGTCAAGTTTGAAGATATCGTCCCTCTTATTGGCTAGTGGTAGCCATGGTGCCGCCAAGAGCCACCGGGGGAAAGAATTCCAAGGTAGAAGTTCAATTATGTAATTCATTTCTATTTTGATATACAGATTATTTTATCGTCATGTATTTGTAAAGACGACTACAATGATTTCCCAGAAGTATACAAATTTGAACTTTAAATTACAAATTTTACACAATAACAATACAGGGTTCCCAAGTTAGAAGTCAATTCTGGGAGATCTGCATTCGGAATAGAGGGCCCAGGAATGGACTTTCAAAGATGGAGGGTCTAGACTATCTCAGTACCACTATAGTTTTGGCTGAAGTAAGAAAATTTATGACTATGGCACTTCTAAATGGCCAGAAATGGCCCTCTCAGACTTAAATTTGAATATGATTTTCTTTATTTCTCCATTTTAAAAAATAATTTTGACAAATTTAAGATGTGTCCTTATAAGCATTGTCGTGTGTACAAAAGTAAATATTATACATGTTTAATGTCCTTATACCATTGTACTAATAAAGAATAATGCATAATAATAATGCACAATTTATTTGTTATGCATATTGCAATAAGGCCCTATAAAAAATATTAGTTTATCACCCTATCTGGGCAGGAAAAGTGATGAGGGAGGGAGGCTTTTTTTAAAATTTTTTATTTTGCTAAAGCTAAATATCACCCTTGGGTTGTTTGCTGGTGCATTTATATTCAAAGTAAAAAATGATTTAGAATGCAAACAATAAATAAACTAATAATTTTTTTTATTGGGCCTAAATTGCCTCTTTGCATTCTCTAGTCACTGGGTCAAATGCCAATGGAACATATCCTCAACTCTCTTGGAAACACCATTCCATAAGTAGCAAAAATCAGTGCTTGTTACTATGCGGATTCAACTATCTGGTACCCACGATGACTAGATGACTAGGTAAAGAGTCGATGTGTATTAAGTGCCTTGCCCAAGATACTAACCAAATGCATAGCTTGTTGAAACACAATAAGGAAGGGAATAGAGAAAATAGTGATGATCAACAACTAAAAAGGAAAGGAAAACTAAAAATAAAATGCAAAGAAAATGAAAGCTGAAAGAAAGACTGTGAACCTAATGTCAAATACTAATAAGAAGAAATTGAAGCAGCTGGTCTTACAAAATCTTTAATGCAAATTTAGAAATTCATTATGAAGAAACCTATACATGCTACTTATTAAATCAAAGCTTGTAAAATAATAGTGTTTCATAATTGTAATAAATTTTGATTAGTATCTCCCATAGCAACCAATTTACGTTTTTAGCTTGATTCAAATTAATTGTGTTCAATACAGCAAACGTATTTTGGAAATATTTATGTTACACTGGGATTAATCAGCAAATGGACGGAGCAGCATAGTGATTCGTTTTGTTTACAATAACCGTAGTAATTCATTGACATTGTTAGCTGTTTTACTACCAATGTTTATATCTTGCTGGTGTGTGTTTCGTTATTGATGGAACTACAAGAGGAGTTAAAATGTTTGCAATGTAATCTGGGTTATCAATGCTAATTCACAGATTTGGGCTATGGTTCGTCCATGGTAATTCTGTCAAAGGGTTCTATTGTTGACTCTAGATGATGTAGAGTGAAAATAAATATGTTTAGAGCACTGTAGATCTTAAAGTCCATGCTTGAAAACGTTAAATATTTTCTTGCACTTTTGTTTTATAATTTTGAGTGAAGAGTGCATAGAAAAGGTGAACCATTTCTTATTACCTTGTTTAGCGAATTTCTTTTTTCGAAAGATCTACAGAGGGCAGAAATAAATGAAAATTAAATTTTCTGATTTTACCATAATTGTTATACCAAAACATTTAGGCAGAGGGGAAAATGAAAATTGGCAAATAAATTTGACGTAAAAAAAATATAGTAATATAAGTGCAGCCTTAGGCTATCAATTTAAATCCCATTATATAATGAATTCAATATGACCTATATATATATATATATATA